TGGTAAAATTCACTGTAATATATTCATATGGGTATATTGGAAAGTTAGGTCAGATTCATTCTGTTCTTTTTCCCTTACCCCTACTATCCATTCTCCATCTCAATTTCCTTTTTCCAAAGCTAATATCTTTAGAAAATATAGTTCTTGTAATAAGTATAACCTAAAGGTTAAAAAGAACAACCATCTGATTGAATTGTAGCATATTACAGAAGAGGACATGAATTTAAAGTCATAGAAAGCTGTTAAAGTATAAAATGAAATATAAATGTTGCTGCTTTTGCTGGTTTTTACCATTGTGTTCCTAATGCAGCCAATTTTAGGTGTTACTTATTCATTCTTATTTTGCTGATAAGGAAAAATTATTTAGCTTTAGTCTTTAAGTTTTTTTCTGCTAAGTTCTTTCTGCAGCTTCTTCATTGAGATAACTAATATTATTGAGATGCATAACCTCTATTTTTATTTAATCTTTATAATTAGCATAGAGAAATTAAACATGTGGTTGGTCTTTCTAGAAGCGTTAGATTGAAGGAAGTATGAAGAATGAAAAACCACATAGGACCATGTGGAAATAGCTCAAAAGAACAAAGATGGTCAGATGTTTCATAACAGTAAAAATGAAAATAGTTAGAAAAACAAAAAGTTGAACATGGATATAAAGAGAAATTTCCAAAACTTAGCCAATGGGACACAATAACTATACATGGAATGTCTAAAGATATGTCACTTTCTAGGTACAGCTAGCCCAGTCTCTATCTGAATCCCACCTAGAACCCATTCACAGAATATACATTGTCAAATTTCTAATAATGTCCTACCTAGACTCATGCACACCTAAGCACCACATCATTTTACAGCTTGCCTCCATGTCATAGGGGAAATTAAAACATAAGTAGAACACAAGGCACCAGACATCTTCAATTATTATAGTAAACTAGCCTGCAGCCAACTTAGACATATTATTTCCCATCACTATATCAGAAAATAGCTACAAAATTAATATAAACTAGACTGTTCTCAGATTGAGGTCTTGATCTAACTTTAAAAAGACAGAGACACTGCCAGTGCCACTTCCCAGGTAGTATGAAGGGATTGTCCATTTACATAACATGTCATGAAAAAGATAGAATAAATTATAAAAGGCTCTGAAAACTATCTGGGTGAATCCAGTGTTTTCTGTTCAGCTAAGGAACGTAATGTGGTGAAGGACACAATTTTTTTGTTCTAGGAAGGAACATTCTTTTCTTGAAATTATATAATAACCCCTAGTTGCATCTAAGTATCGGTTATCCAATCCTCCACTTTTTCTGGATTTTCTCACAGATAGCCTCTTCATAATTTCTCAGGAATATTTTACAAGAAAATATCATTGCTCAAACCACCAGACAGGTTGGGTTATCATCTCCCCCACAAACACTATATCATAATCTGATGATATTTTATACACACATACACACACACACACACAAACACAATCTCAGTTATTCTTTACATCCTCATTAGTAATTATAATCAACAGTTAGTATTTGCTTATTTAATATCATATGCAGTTTCTTCCTTAGAGACTGACGGGACAAAAGAGATGGAAAGTTCAGGATTGTTGTTATATTTACAAATTTTACACATGGATTTTCTACAAATGAGGTAAATATTTCAAAGAAAATGTATCTGTTAACTGTCCTTGATATTCCCTCTCTAGGTCTCCTCTGCTGTGTTATGGAATTAAAGAATGGAAGTCCCATTTCTCCAAGAAATAGGCAACATGCTATGACAGAAGTCAGGGTCTGTCMCTGGAAGCAMGAAAWCTYCTGTYAGAAATGTKYCTATAACCAATKCCCACCAACATGCTTCAGATCAACAGCACACAGTTCCACCCDKCCTCCTTTCTTCTGATAGGTATCCCAGGGTTGGAAGATGTGCACATGTGGATCGGCTTTCCTTTCTTTGCAGTATATCTGATAGCCCTGCTGGGGAACATCATTATCTTGTTTGTGATTCAGACTGAACGCAGCCTCCATCAACCAATGTTTTACTTTCTGGCCATGTTGGCCTGCACTGATCTGGGCTTGTCCACAGCTGCCATCCCCAAGATGCTAGGCATTTTCTGGTTCAATCTCAGAGAGATTGTGTTTGGTGCCTGCATCACACAGATGTACACCATCCACATWTGCACTGGYCTGGAATCTGTGGTGCTGACAGTCATGGCCATAGATCGCTATATTGCCATCTGCAACCCCCTAAGATACACCATGATCCTCACCAACAAGGTGATAGCCATTCTGGGCATAGTCATCATAGTTAGGGCTTTGGTGTTTATGACTCCTTTCATATTTCTCATCCTGAGATTGCCTTTCTGTGGTGTCAGGATTATCCCCCATACCTACTGTGAACACATGGGTTTGGCAAAGTTAGCTTGTGCCAGTATTAGGGTCAATGTTATTTATGGCTTCATTGCTTTCTCAGTGGGATTCATTGACCTTTCAGTGATTGGATTTTCCTATATTCAAATTCTCCAAGCAGTCTTCCATCTCCCATCCTGGGATACCCGGATGAAGGCACTCAGCACCTGTGGCTCCCATGTCTGTGTCATGTTGGCCTTCTACCTGCCAGCCCTCTTTTCCTTCATGACACATCGCTTTGGCCACAATGTCCCCCACTATATCCACATACTTTTGGCAAATCTGTATGTGGTTGTTCCCCCTGCCCTTAACCCTGTYATCTATGGAGTCAGGACAAAACAGATACGAGAGAGAGTTCTAATGATGCTTCATCCTAAAAGCCATTGACATTTAGCMCCAGGAGTATCTTCCACAGTAGTCCAATAAGGAAATAATGAGATCATACCAGAAGTAGAAACTGAAAATATTTTTGTTAAACTTCCCCAGTAAGTCAATAATGAGATCATAAATAGCAGGAACATTTTTATTTAACTCCTCAGACATTCAGGAGCCAATCACATTATGTGTCCCTCCATTGCCCATAACTCCAGTACACCCATTGAAAGGCATAGCATAGAGATTCCACAACAATCTCTCTACTATGACCCATGAAGCGTACAAAACAATATTCATGTTTAAGTCTACTGGTATCTCAAAATTCCTGCAGGGAGTAAGAGGTTTTGCCAAAACTTGTTGCAGCAACAAGTACCTTGAACAACTTCCTCCCACCTGGATATTTTCTCCATTCACATTCAMAAGGTCAAGTTTATGAGTAGAAAAATGATGTGGGATTTCTTGTAAACCAACCAGAATACAGTGGCCAGAGAAATTAACTGACAGTCTTAAATTTTACATATATATTCGGGTCCTGGACATATTTAGAAGTTTGACCAGAGAATTACAGTGAAAACTCTTTGAACATCAATATCCCTGTCCATAAAATGTTATAAAATAATATTAATTCAGCCCTAGGAACTTGAAAATACTGTCGTGAAAATCTTCACAGCTTGTAAAATATTAAAAGATTTGGGGAAAAAGGAATATATACTAAGGTAGTATTGTTGAGCCTTCTAGCATTGCTTCTAGATTTACCTTACTAAATCCAATTCCAGTGCACAGTCCCTAGTCCCCCAGTTGGGTCTCTTTGTGGTCCTCTCAGAGACACTCTCAGGCAGGAGGACTGAAGCCCTGACTAGTTTAAAGTGCTCTATCTGGGTTTGAAGGATTGGAGAAAACCTTTGCCTCACAGTCCTCCTTGAGATGAACTTTGAGAGAGACTGCAATGGTGGCTTCTGCAAGAGCATAAARTTATTCTCACTAGGGTGTGGAAGCTAAATAAGAGCATTGATTCGTTGGGTATTCTAGGAGCTGCAAAAACATGAAGCTGACTTTTAATTGGAAATAAGACCCTGGTTGAAACTCAGGGTGCATTGAGCAGAAATACACAGAGAATGGGGCTAAGGTGACAATAATGTAAACTGAAAGAGAAGAAAGCAAGATTTGAAGAAATGAAATAAAGACACAAAGAAAAAAATGTTCAGGAAATCTTTTTTTCCCCAGTGCTGGGGATCCAACCCAGGACTTCCCATACACCAGGGAAGCACTCATCCTTAGCCCTTAATTTGCTAAATAGAAAGTTTGAAATACCAGAAAGAAGAGCTCAAAGGATTAAAATGATAACAAAACAAATAATGAAGATGACAAAAGATCATTTCATATTCTCTTCCAAATAAATGTCAAGCCAATATAGCTTTTTTAAAAATTATTTTATTGTTACATATGAATTACACTGAATAGCGGGTTTCATCATGGAATATTCATACATTATTGAGTTTCCTATACTATATTAACAGAACTAAAAAATTCAAAAACTTGCAAATTCCATTTCAAAAATTAACATTATCCTTATGGCAAAATCAGAAAATAAACAAGAAAAAAAAACAGAAGAACATAAATACAGAGAAGTGTTTCAAGAGAAACAGATACAGATTAACCCCACATATAAAAATAGATAAAAGTATAAATTTGACATCAATTTGCTTGCATACATTTTAATTAGCTTTTTAATTCATTATCACCTTACAATTAAAGATATTTTTGAAGTACAGTGTGATATTTCAACACATGTGTAGATTTTCTAATGATCAGATCACAGTGATATATCCAAAATCTTATTTATCATTTCTTTGTGTTGGAAACATTCAATACCTTCTCTACTAGCTATTTTGAAATATACTATTAAATGCTGTCAGCCATAGTTACTTACTGTGCTAGAGATCATTAGACATTATGCTTTCTACCTTTTAATTAAAAGGTACAGGTGTCCAATTGTAAATTATCCTCTATCTCCGCCTATCCTCCACCCTTCCCAGACTCTGCTAACTACCATTCTACTCTCTGTTTCTATTATGCCAATGATTTTATCTTCGCATTTAAGGAAGAGTATACGGTATTTGTCTTCTGCACCTGGTTTATTTCATTTAATGAATGTCCTCAAATTGGTGCCAATGACAGGATGTCATGATTTTAATGGCTGAATAACATTCCTTTGTGTATTTATACCACCTTTGCTCTGTCCATCCACTCACCAATGAACATTTTGGTTTATTCATACCTTGGATATTGTGAATACTACTGCAATAAACGTATGAGTGCAAATATCTCTTCAACAAACAGATTTCCTCACCTTTGGATATGTACCCAGTGTTGAAATTGCTGTATCCTGTGGTAATTTTCTGAGGAACTTTCATACTGTTTTCTATAATGGCTCTACTAATGAATGGTCCCATCAAACGAGTTATCAGATTTTCCTTCTCTAAATTCTTGACTGACTTTTTTACTTTTTATTTTTTATAAGTCATTCTAACTGGAGTTTGATAATATTTCATTGTGATTTTGATTTGTATGCAAATTGTTTAAAATTAAGTTTATCCTTATTTCAAAAGCAAATGAAAAGAGCCGGACAGACTGTGGAATGTCTGACTTTAAAAGTTAGCTACCCAATATGTGCAGAGCTGACTTTGAGGGGAATTAGAGGATGATTTCAAGAATCTAGACAATAGTCCTCAGAAAATGAGCCTAGGCTATAGAGGCTCATAGGCAACAATTTTTTAAGATGCTCTGAGCAAAGGAAATTATTTTTTATAAAATTAACACAAAACCAGCAATTATATGTACATGTGCTCCAAAAACTGGGCACTGATTTGAGATTAAGATTCAAGGACAATTTTGAATAATGGGCTCCAAGTTGAGTAGCAGCAAACATTTACTTATTGCTCATTAGCATTTTCCCAAAAAACATACTGAGAAGCCTATTTTTAGGGTTTAGTAATAATAATAATAATAATAATAATAATAATAAGACAACAGCATTGAACCACCAACAAGAACTTCTAAGGGCTTTACAAACATGCTCACATTTATTTCTTCCAGTAAATAAATAAATTAGAAATATAATATTTTAATAATTTTTGCAACTTGTCAAGTGGCAGACATGAAAGCAAAAATCTGTCCTGCCCAAATTCTAGCCTTGGATCCTTGGCTACAAGGAAGGGGACTAGTCAGAAAAAAAGAAATCATTACCACAAGTTCAGCCATATATTTTACATGCAGGAAGTAATGGAGTAAATTATGATAAGCTAAGAATATTGAGTCAGATTCAGGAATATTTTTGCCTGACAGAGTCTGGCAACATGGGGATACAAGGCATCAGGTCATCACAATGATTTTAGACACCTGCCTAGAACAGGGGTTGTGGTGTGATGAGAGCCTGGCTTGCAACTTGGAAGGCTTTGTGGTTGAAGGCTGAGGATCAGGTTTGAAAGCAAGTAGAGAAGAGCCCTTGGCCAGAAAATTGTCCAACTACCCTGAGGCAGCTCTGATATGAGGGAGGCCAAGTTAGCAATATGATGAAGGCTCAGAGAAAGGCCTATGCCTAGCCATTCTGCTGTTTGAGCCATTCTAACCCAGGAGTGAGACCTATAAGTAAAGAAGCCATATTGGGCACTCTATCTATAGTAGATGCCCTGGAGTCCTAGAATGTAACTCAGGGTTACATGGTGCAAGGTGATCAACTCCCTAACACTTTGTTATTAAAAAAATGTGGGAAAACTGAAGAAACAGAAGAAGGTGAAAGAATGTGACTGGGAGAAATTAACCAACTAGCATAAAGAGGATCAAAAAAGTCAAAAGACAGAGAGGAAAGGACATAAGGATGAAATGGAGTAGAAGTTCACTGTAAGCTCCTGATCCCCACCTCACCCCAGAAACAGCAGAAGCAGAAGAAGGAGGATCTTTGGATGCCCAAACTATAGTCCATGTTTCTCTGGAGGAGGCTCAATGGTATGGAACCAGATTGCCTTGGAAGAATACGTACAGAGCAGATGGCTGGTGTCAGAGCAGAGATTCCACTCACTGAACCAGTTTCAATGAACCCATTTCCAGATTCAAGATAATGAAATCACACAAGATATGGCATCCTGACTGGCTTGCTACTTTGTGAGATCATATTTTTAGATCAGCCACAACAAGTGGTGATAAAAGGTAAAGTTTAAAATTCCCATAGACTTCAGCTTCTGGCCAAGATGGAGTAAAAGGAACTGAATTCACATCAATAACTGGGAAAAAAGAGAAATCAAAACTGAGTGAGATATATTAAGAAATGGTTCTAATACAGCAGACATCATACAAGTGAGAACAGGGATCCCTGCAATGTGGGAAACAAGTGAGGCAGTTGCTCCAATTTGCTGCCTTGACCCAGTTCCTAGGCTACCGAGAGGGAAGAGGGATGGACCCCAGGTAGAATTCAGTGGAGTCCCTGAATTGAAGAGGTCTAGTTGGAAGTATTTAAAGAAGAATAAAGCTAAAGTTAACAGGGCATAGTTCTGGGGAAGAAAGAACTTCGCACAGAGAGAATGGTCACAATCTGCAAAGGATCCTCAAGTGATAAGTGTAACAAATGAGGAAGCTACATGAGGTAGGAGGAGAAACTATAGTACCCTAAGGATTAAGAGAGAGTATCCAGCTCTCACATGGGCCTAAAGAATAGCCATTCTACCAGCCAGAAAAGGAAAACAAAAACATAATTCATGAAGCTTCAATCAGAATACTCAAAGGAATCTTTCTTCTGTTGTAAATCAAAACTAGTTCTAGACCAAAATTTGTTCTGGTTATGCTAACAGAGCCCAAAAAGGTCAAATTGTTTCCAAGTAACTTATATGCATTCAGAGAAAAGATTAATAATATTTACAGAATTAAAACTAAATTAAATATAGTATCTAACCAAAATCCAAAATGTGTGATATACAATAAAAAGTTTCTAGAAATGAACATAACTAGAAAATACAACCACAAATAGGATGAGGAAGGAAACTAATCAGTCAAAATTAGCAAATTACAAAACAAAAACATTCAATCATTAAAACTGAATGCCATATATTCAAAAACATTAAGTAGAGTCATAGAAGACATTCAGAAGACAAGGTAAACTGCCAAAGATGAAAAAGTAGATTGATGGCATCAAGGGTAGATTATTACTGCATAAAGAAAAAAGGTGGATTTGCTTCATTAAATTGAAAGATTCCTGCTGAATAAATTGCAGTATACACTATAATTTTTGTGGCATTTTTAAAGTTCCATGATAAATGCCATGAGGAGTTAACTTTGATTCATTCAATTGAATAGGCTGTACCTATCTAATAAGCGTGTGCCAGAAGCCCACACAACTTCTGAATGAGTTTTTGGAATATGCAAAAGATGTTGAATGTGCTCATGTAAATGAGCATGAACATCCATAGATGAGTAAGTAAACTTTGTACCCAGGGGACCACCTGTGGCACAGTATCAGGCTAAATTACCAGGAGAGCATTGAGAAAGAAAGAAAATCACTTTATTTTTTCATCCACCTGCCTAATCTAGGAGGACCTTTTAGGCCCAGGGGAAGAGGAATAGAGGAGTTCAAAAAAGGTAGTGTCCCTGAGCATCTAGAGTATAATTATCTGCAGATACCTCTGGAAGCAACCAGAGTCTCAATTCCTGTGAACCTGACCCCATGCTTCATCTCTTCTGTAAGGGAATCTTAGCACAGGTTGCTGTACTGAGTTTAACCAGAAGACAAGACACCTATCTATCTCGATCTATTTTTCTTTCCTGAGTCAGTACTGCTAAAGTAGTCTGAAAAGCAAGAAATACAGACCATCTCCTCAACAGGTAAGGAGGCACTAGTGGGGGGGGTCTCTGCTTTTGGAACTTCTCTCCTTGTCCTTCTCTGGGCACTTTGTAGCACCAGAAATATAAAAGCTGGAGTTTATCCAAAGGAGATTAATAGCAGGTAGAAGAACTAGGAAGTGCATCATCTGGAACCCAGCTAAGAAAATTTGGAGATTTCACCTACAAATATAGAAATTTAGTGGTTGTAATACAAAGAATCTGCCTCTAAAAATCTTTGATCATTGGGTAGAAATTACATTTGGTCTATGTAACTTCAGAGGCAGGGGACAAAGACCACAGCTCGGTGGCAGTAAGAAAGTAGTAGTTGAGAAAATTTGAGCACAACCCAATCAATGGGCAAAAGCTCTTGCTGCCAAATTCAGAAAATTGTACCCAGAAAAGCAAGGAGCTACCTATCACTATCTGCATGCAATCGTATCTGGAACTACATGTGTAGAGATGTCTTGCATGCCTGAGTTTTATCCAACTAGGTGATCCCTCCAACAACCTTTCCACTTCTTAAAACAAGGTTTCCCTGGTACCATGCTGTGGGCCTGTCATGCAGCCTGGGGAAGGGCTTGGGCTTCAAGGACTTTGATTTGATTTTAGTCTTTCAGCTTCCTTGGATTCCTCATGGTGTCTCTGGCTGGAAACAGAAAACACAAGCTCTTAGTCCTCATCACCAGTTCCGACTCTCGCAAATGATTAGTGACATCCCGGGTAAAGTATATTTCATTTTTTAWAAGATTGATGGGCAAGCATATTTTTATGGAATTATTTGCAAGGCCTAAAAGGGTTCTAAAAATTAATTGTATCCAACCTTCTGTGTAAAGTGGGATTAGCATTAGAATAGTAGAGCATGGTTGCCTACCAACCCAGATTGCAAACCAAGATTAAAAGAGGAAGGGAGGCAAAAGGACAAGTGCTTTACTTCTAGGGCTGAGTAAGTCATTCAGAGCTTTTTAGATGATTTATGAGTGAAGAACATGCATAAATGTTCAGAGAAAGAGAAGAAAATGGATGGGAGACAAAATAATCTTATACTTCTTATATTACCCTCAGAAATGACATGCTAGCGTAAAAATAATTGAGGGACAAAAAAAACCCACATATTTCTTCCCATAGGCTTCTCCATAAATATGGTTGAATTCCCAGTCCTTCCTTTTGACTTGGACTTCTATTTCTTATACATTTGAATCCTATCAGTTAAACCATAGAAAAGGCATAATATCACTGAATCTGAACTTGCACAGTGAAAGACAGACAGTTAAAGTAGTCAACTTACCCTACCTACTTCAGACCATTGTGAGTCACAAATGAAACAATTTGTTTAAAATTGATTTTGGACTTGCCTAAGTCATTGCT